CTAAATAATTATGAAAAGATTGTTTTGAGATCTAGGGAAGTCCACAGAATCTCAGAAAGACATTACCTGAATTCTGGAGCAATTTGAGATGACAAAATGTGTTGCCAACTGTGCAGAAAACCCTAATTGTGGATGCTTCAAGGATTCCTTGACCCAGAATATATTCCCTTTTGGGGATACAAAGGTTCCCTTCCCTCCTCAGATACTTTGTTGGGGGACGGGGAGGAGCCCCATCAGTGAGGAGCAGGGTCCAGCCTAGCTTTAGCATTTGCTTCTTGAGTATAGAGAAGAGGTATATAAAAAGTATATATAAAAAGGAGGGAGCAGAGGGAAGGAGATGGCAAAAGGTAGAGACAGGCGTAAGAGGGGCCAAGCCGCATGTTTGGGGAACACATTACTAACATTGTATTCTGAATATAGAAATATTGTAGTATATCGTGGTTGGATAATTCACATAATTATTTGATATTACAGGCACTTAAGATTGCAAAAACAAACAAAATCCTTTCAGGTTGACTTGATGATGCAAAACTTTCATGAATTGCAGTACAGTTCTGTGGCACAAATACAGTACAGATGTTAGCAACACAATATTTCACATTCAACTTGAAAAAGACTATGGGCATAAACAGGCCCTGATACTCTTTACACTGTCTTTTCTCTTGTTTTTCTCCTATTGTTACAGTTCGAATTCAGTCCTGTTAATAATGCTTTCAGTAAACACAGAAAATATTCTTTTTAAACCTCGAGTTTTCTGTTGGTTACTTTCTACCAATATTATGGGGTTGGGCATTACATTTAGCATTTTACAGTTATACATTAGCTGTATGTTTTGTTTTAGTGTATCATCTTTAAGATTGGCCTACAGAGATCTTGATATTAAAACAAAAGATGACAAGCTAAATCTATCTGATAAGAAGAAAAGTGAGTTAGAGAGACTTGGCATCGGATTTGGTAGCAACAGAAGGTATGTGAAGTTCTGTAAGTTGTGTTAAATATATTCTATACAGTTTTGGTACAGTTACCCTTGAATTTACATAGGAAATGAAACACTACTGTGTGGTGTGGAAACTTAAGCTTTAAAAGCATCTAGTAGTTGTTGGGAAAGGAGTAAGGTAGCTTCTGATGGATTTAAAAGTCTTACCCTCCCAGTCAGGCAGTAACTTAAACTGTGGATTGTTTTTGGGGTTTCTGTCCCAGTTAGCTGAGGAGGAGGAGAATGGCAGCAACATTTTCAGTGAATACTACAAACCAAAGCATAGTGTATCTAGTAAAAGCTCAGACTTTGAAAAATTACTTTACCATGTTTTATACTGTTGAAGTGGTCCCAGAAATTCATTTGAAAGTCTTGTGACTACTTCAGAGAACAACAGATAATTTTTCCAGGAGAAACTAGATTTGGGATTTTGTTCTTTTAGCTTAAGAATTTTTCATCTCTTTACATAATTATTTTCTTTCTGTTTCCTAGTGGTATTTCCCACTCAGTCATTTCGGATATGCAGACAATAGAACAGGAGTCGCCTACAATTGCAAAACCAAAGAAAAAGTACATGGATGATGTAGAAGACTCATATTTTTCTTCTGGTTCAAGGTAATGTCACGGCTTTTTGTTTGAGTTGGATGGAAGTATGCTCAAGGTACTCAAATACACAAAATACTTCTGAAACATATAATCAAAAAAGACAGCTACACAGGTCTGTCTACCTATTTTGTTTTCAGGGAACATTATCTAAATCGGAAAAGTTGTAAATAGTTGACTGTATGCGGTAAATGCTTTTAGAAAGAAGATGGGATATTTTCTTGTAAGGGGAAAGTGGTCTGCATTATGCGTTGTTTATGGGTTTTGTCTTGTTCAGGTCTGACAAATGTCTAGTCTTTGGTTCTTTGCAAAGGCATTAAATTTTATGCCTTTGGCATTGAACTTTAATTTGCCATATACTGAATCGAGGGATTTTTTTCATCAACATGACTTGTTTTTCTCTCTGTTTCTTGTGGTACCATCTTCTGCTATGTTTAATGCAGTGTGCACCAGAATGCATTGACACCTGTCAAATGCAAAAAGTCTTTTTGCCATATTGCATGTCAGATGTATTGCACATCTCCAATATTTTCACTTTACGTATATTAAATATTTGAACATAAAGTTTAACTAACTAGTCTTAAAATAATTGAATTATTATTTCATCAAGGTACAAGCACAGTGTGTATAAAATACTGTTGTTGGTAGGGAAACAAAAAGGATTAGTCCTAAGGACTCTAATTGTGATGGAACAGCTGTTTCTGGACTGATGGGAAGAAACAGGTGGTGCTTTTAGTAACTGCTTTTATTGGTTAGCTGCCAAAAAGCATGAAAAATGTACCTAGTTACCTGTAGACAGGCAAATAAAAAGACAAAGGCATCAATGTCTTTGCTTTGTAATGTAATAGGCAGTGGCAGAAATGCAAGCGTGATGCTAAGTAAATGGGCAACAATCTTGTAAAATAAAATATGTATCATTTCAGTGCTTCCCTATTTGTTCCCTGAAAAGAAGTCCTATTGCTCCCAAATTATTCCTAAATCCAGTAGCAGGCAAATTATGAATTATGGAAGACACTTTTAAAATGTGTTTTAGTTCAGTAATTAGAAGATAAATTGTGACCTAACTGTTTTTGTCTCTTGTTCTTGCAGCAACAGTATAATCTAATTGGATTTGGTATTCAAATTCATCCTCTTTAAGGGAAGCATAATGTTAGATTGTTGGTCAAGTTTATATATATTCTTTTATTCCAAGCTATGACTTCGAAATAGAGGCAAAGTAATTTTAGTATCATCTTAATATTTTGATAGTGCAACACTTGATTTTTATTAAGTGCCTTTTTTTTTTTCTGAATGCTGAGGAAGAATTTTGCAAAGCTCTGAAACTCTGAGGAGAAAACACAGACCAGGGGAAGTAGGACATCTTGCTCAATATGATTCCTGTAGTTTTCCCTTCTTGCCCGTGGTTGAGATGGCTGCTGTGAGATCAGGTTGTTTCGTGTGTAGCGTGTTTTATTATTATACACCGATCTTGAATTTTTAAAGACTGCAGTGGCTTCACTAGCTGGGCAAGAATAACAATGTCACTGCATCATACTTTCCTTGCAGCCCGTATCCTGTTATTGTGCTCTCCACCCCGAGAGGAACACAGGAGACATCAGACTGAAGAAAAAGTAGCCTGGTGGTTGGGAAACATATAGAGCCTTGCCATGTTTCTAAGCTGATGTAAGGGAGGGAGACAGCTGAATAAAGAGATTTGGAAGACCAGCTACTTCCTTTTGCTGTGCTGCAATTTCCTGGGAGTTTCTGTCTTCTTTTTATTTCTTTTGCACGTGATATTGCACTGAAAACAGCTTCTGCTGACATCCACTCTGTGGGGTGAGACTGTGAAGACCAAGGTCCCTGTGTAGCAAGTCTCCCTCGCACAAAGCACTGAATACCCTTCCCTTTGCCCTCCAGGAGGAAAAAAAGGAGAGGATTGTTGCGGAAATTCTTCCTAAATTTGTCCTTGATGTTTTATATATGTGCAGTCATGGGAGACCTCTCTGCTGAAGATGTCACATCTCCTATAAACTGCAGAAACAGTGTCCTGACTATTTGTAATGCAAATACAGAGAATTTTTTTAAGGTGCTTTTCACAGAACACAGATGCCAACTTTAATATCCTGTGCTTGTTTCTATTGAATGATCACATCCTGCTGGCCTCCTGTTGTTTTGATCACTGTACTGGCTATCCTAATCGTATCAAATCTTTATGACAGTTTATTTAATCACTAAGGGAAATTCTTCATCTTTGGCTTTTAGCTTAAATCAATTCATGGCATTATTTGTAGTGTTGTCTCTATATATTTAGATAAAGGGGAAACAGTCAAGATAAGATAGTAGTTGAACTGACCATCATGCTTCATTTTATTTCTTATACGTAGCCATGTGTTCCTTGCACTTTGGATATGCAAGAGAAGCAACTGCCATATCTATTAAAACATAAATTAATTTTTAAGAAATGTGGTCTTTAACATTGTTTTAATAAAACACGTTACAAAGCCCAGAGATATTTAGTACTTGTTAACAGTATGAAGTTTAATAAACAGTATTAAGACATAATAAACACAGCCAGAGGCAAAGGCTTTGCTTACAGTTGTGAATGAGGCTTGTTTATGCTGTGGGAAAGGGGAGCAGACTCCTTGCTTCCTAACTTGCACATTGACTGCTATGGAATAGTAGCTACTTGACCAGAAACCTTGGCCCCGTGTGAAGCCCAGTACCAGCAGAGGCTTGTTCTTGGCTTTTGGGAGTATTCAAGGTGCCTTGAAAGTTGTGGCTTTATTATCATTGAATGGAAATTCAATAGCACCAGGCCTTATAAGCAAACTGCCTTGTATGTGCATTTGCAGGGTCAAAATGATGCCAAATCCTTACTCACAGGGCCCGACCTGAAGTGTTCTCAGAGTACAGAGATGTTTTGACCATGTTCTTCCCAGTGTCTCCCTGGACACTAAAAAAAATGTTTGTTTCCAAGTAATGAGAACTCTGCTCTGTTATTTTCAATGTAACAAACCTTTCAGGCAGTCTATGTATTCATGACCATATCCAGCCTAAAGAAAGGCTAGACTTTTTAGTGCAGCAATAGTTGCAAATGAATAATTCAGATTTCATAATACTGCTTAGCAATTTTGTGCAATTGAAGTGGATTTTTTTGTGTGCTACTTTAATCAACTGAAAACTTACTTGCAAGTGAACATCATTAAAGTTTACTTAACAGTATGAAATATTACTACTACTACAATACTTCTTATTCTTCTTTTATTTTAGGTACTATGATTCTTCAGTTTTGAGGAGCAGCAGTTTCTCTAAATGGGATGACAATCCAGATTCTTTTTGGAAGAAAGAAAGTAATAACAGAGATATTGATATAATATTAACTTCAAAAAGTTCAGGATATTCAGACAGGTATACCAAGAATACCTAGTTAACTTTTATACTCAGAGCTCAAGCTTGTTAATATGATTTCTGTTCTGATCAGTGTGATGGGATTTGTGGGGGATATAAGAGAAAGAGAAATTGTATATGACTCTGATTAGCAGTCAAGGGACTGCAAGGCTGCATTTCTTCTGTTTAATTATTTACGTTTTAAGCACTGTGAATTCCTGTTCAGTGCTCTAAAGTATATGCAACAGACTAATTTCCTAAGTATATCATGAAAAAGAAAAAAAAAAAAAGACAAAATGAGTTATTAAGAAAACTTCAGTTGTTCGAACGTTTTGAGAAGATACCTCCTTTACTTGCCCTGTTTATTGCTTAATGAACCAAAAAGATCCAAGTCACCAAATGAATGCAACTGCAGGGTACTCAACTCACAGCATTAAGATATAAAGGAAGCTTCTATGCAATAAGTCTTTTTTTTCATGATAAAAGATGGGTGCTTCCTCTCTGACAGCTTTGTTTTTGTCTTTGTAATCAAGGGAACGATTTAAGAACTTGTAATTTTTGCTTGTTGGGATGTTGCTTTCTGATTCTAAAGACAAAACTTTAATATTTTCTTTCCCTGTACCATGGAGTTTGTGCACTAGACTTTATTTTGTTTCCTGAAAACTGGGCCAGTGATGCATATCCACTCAATATGCATTAATGTCTAGTAATTGATGTGTATTACTTCCTTATTTGAGCTTATTTATTTAAGATTAAGAAGAGTTGAATGTGTATGTTTGCTGAAATGGAAGATAATGATAATTCAAGGGATGGTAAACCTTTTTAACTGCTAGGGTTAAAAATGGATTTCACTGATGGAGGAGTTCTTTTTTGCCTTGCTTTCTGTACAGAAATAATCTGTCCTTGTTGACATAATTTAGGCTTGCATCCTATTAAACGTTCACTGATACTTTATTTGCTGCTCTGCTGTAGCAATTTAGAGGAAGTTACCAGAGTTTCCTTGTCCTGGGCTCACGCTAATTTTATTTTTAATTCTTTTTGTTTTTTTTTTAGTTACAGTTAAAATTTTTTGATTTTGCAAAGCAGAGGTGGTAATTTCTCGTTTGGTTTATTGCATGTGCCATGATCTAAATAAGTTATTCTTGCTAATGTAGTTGATTTTAATTTCAGGCCTGCATCTCGTCGTAAACCTGAATATGAGCCACCTTTAAGCACAGATGAGGCACAAAAAAAATTTGGCAATGTAAAAGCAATTTCCTCAGACATGTATTTTGGAAGGCAAGATCATGCTGATGTAAGTACAAAACTGTGGTAGATATTTTTGGGTGCTAAAATATCCTTTGGCTGTAGAAAACAGTATTTGAGATAAAGAGTAGGCAATAAGTAATTAAAATGGGTGGAATTCAGGGTAAGTTTGCTAAGGAGAGGTTTGCAGAACTGAAGCCATTGAAATATTTTTTTGATGGAAATTTAGAAGTCTCTGGTGACTCTTAATAGTTTATTATTTCCTTTTAAGGAGCTGTACCTGTAAGTAGGACTTTAACTGCATCATAATTCCTCTCTGATGGATGTGGTAAACTAATACAGAAATGACTATGAAAAAAAATGAATCCGAGGTCAAGTGGATGCTCACTTATTTTGTTTTAAAGTACTATATAGTAAATATCTAAATGGATCCTAATAAGCAATTAAGCGAGTAGCTGTCTCCTCTGTATTGTAATACTAAGCACATAAATTGTTCAACAAATCACATATAACTGAACCAGCCTAAAAATCAAAAATTTAGGTTAATGTTGTGGTGAATTTTTGAGGTGAGGAATACTTGGAGTAATCTAAAGGGTAATGTAAAGAATATGAGCAATGTGTTACTGTTCCGAACTAACTCAAAAGAAATTAAAGTTAAGAAATGAAGAAGTTAAAAGCATCATGTGATCAGGAAGGTTAATATGATGCTAACTGCAGCATATTTTCCTTATCTCACCCAACAAATGCATTTCAGATTCCTTTTTTTGATGGTTGCATAGTTCGTTCCCTTCTGCCTAGTCAATATTTTCCATTTTTTTAGAGAAGATAACAGTAAATAGGCCACTGTTGTCACTCTGAACAGTCTGGAAATAGTTGAAATGATAGCCTTGCACTGTACAAGTCACGTGAAATCTGTCAGATGGTAATAACTTGGGGAATTGTGGCCTTGAGCTGGATTTGTACGTTCTAAAACTGAATCTGTAACCGTATTATTGAATTATCTGACATGAACCCAAAAGATAGGAGTATACTCTTAAGATGTTTCTTCTCAATTCTTTCCTAGTATGAAGCTAGGGCTCGACTAGAGAGACTTTCTGGAAGCTCCTCCATAAGTTCAGCCGACTTGTTTGAAGATCAGAAGAAACAGCCAGCAGGTATTGGAGAGGGAGGGAACTATAGCAGGCTGTGGCATATACATTGCCTCCAAGTGTCTCTGCTTCTAGATCCAATATCAGTAAAATAGTATCACCCTGTTTTGCAAAACACATGCTAAGTGCAAAAAGCATTAATATTGTTAATAGTTCAAATGAGCATGACAGGTGTCATTTTCTTTTTTTAATTTATTTTTTAGGTTCAGTTAGGTAGCATATTTTGAACTGATCTTTATATGATGGATTAGCTGCAAATGATAGATTCACTGTAAGATTGCATATCTACCTGAAGGAAAGAAAGGAATCAGAAAAATTATCAGTTACCTAAGTGTTTTTTATTTTTTCGTTATGTCAGTCAAATTGTTAAAAAAACAACAACAAAAAAGGCATGGAAAGGGGGGATGAGGCCTAAAAATTGCATTGCTGACTTCACTCAGTTGAAAGAATATTTGCAATGACATGTAATAAATAAAAAGCTTTCAGGAGACATAAGCAAATTAAAGGCATTTCTTTGTAAACACTAACGTTTTCAGTAGAGATTATGATAATTTTATGACCCTTTCCCCACCTCTTACCCCCTCCTCTACATGCAAATTTTGATGCAAGTATACTCACTAGTAGAGAAATAATTTTTGTTACCACTTACCTAAATATTTTTTACTTTCTCAAATCATCAATGAAACTGTAAAGAAATGAATAAGGGAAAGGAGGGAATGAGGCATAAAAAATGAAGTGCTGTTTTGAGTCAGTTGAAAGAATATTGCAACATGATGTAATATATAAAAAGTTTTGCAGAGGTGTAAGAAAAATAACGGGCATTTCTTTATAACCTCTAAGATTTTCAGGAATCTATGACGTTTTGAGAATTTTATCACTCTTTCTCCTCACTATTTACTCTCACTCTTTACTCTCTCTTTACTCCTGCTTTTTAACCTCAGTTTTCTCTCACTCTCTACCCTCACTTTACTCCTGCTATTTAACCTTGCTTTACACTCACTTTTAACTTTCACTTTACACCCGTCCTTTACTCTCACTCTACTCCTGCACTTTACCCTCCTTTTGTTTCTACTCCCTATCCTCACTTTACCCTCGATCTTTACCTCAGTTTATTCTCGTTGTTTACCCTTTACCCTCACAATTTACCCTCACTTAACTCCTGTTCTTTACCCTCATTTTACTCTGATTATTTACTCTTAGTTTACTCTCACTCTTTGCCCTTTACCCTCGCTTTACTCTCGCCCTTTACCCTCGCTTTACTCTCGCCCTTTACCCTCGCTTTACTCTCGCCCTTTACCCTCGCTTTACTCTCGCCCTTTACCCTCGCTTTACTCTCGCCCTTTACCCTCGCTTTACTCTCGCCCTTTACCCTCGCTTTACTCTCGCCCTTTACCCTCGCTTTACTCTCGCCCTTTACCCTCGCTTTACTCTCGCCCTTTACCCTCGCTTTACTCTCGCCCTTTACCCTCGCTTTACTCGCCCTTTACCCTCGGTTTACTGTCACCCTTTAACCCTTGGTTTACTCTCACCGTTTACCCTCGCCTTATTCACCCTTTTACCCTGGCTTTCCTCTCACCCTTTGCCCTCGCTTCACGCTCACCCTTTTGCCCTCGCTTCACGCTCACCCTTTGCCCTCGCTTCACGCTCACCCTTTGCCCTCGCTTTACTCACCCTTTGCCCTCGCTTTACTCACCCTTTGCCCTCGCTTTACTCACCCTTTGCCCTCGCTTTACGCTCACCCTTTACCCTCGCTTTACTTTCGCCCTTTTACCATTGCTTTACTCTCACCCTTTTATCCTTGCTTTATTCTCACCGTTTTACCCTCGCTTTACTCTCACCCTTTGCCCTCAATATACAAATGCTGTTTATTCTCACTTCACTCCTGATCGTTACCCTCACTTTACCACTTTGCCGTCACTTTACTTTTGTTCTTTGCCCTTGCTTGAAGAGTGAGAACTCTGTACCCTCACTATACTCTTGCTCTGTACCGTCACTCTTTACTCCGACTCCTTACTCGCACTCTTTAGCCTCCTCTGCATGCAAATTTTGATGCAGGTTTCTTCCCTAATAGTGAAATAACTTTTTTTTTTACCAGTTGCCTAAACGTTTTAATTTTTTTTTTTAGTGTGTCAAATTGTAAAGAAATGAAGGGAAAGGAGGCAATGATGCATAATAAAAGATTTGCTCTCTTCATTTAGTTGAAAGAATGTTTTCAACGTGGTGTAATATTTAAAAATTTGGCAGGAGGTGTAAGCAAAATAGTGGCATTTCTTTGTAACCTAAAATTTTTCTGTAATCTATGAGGTAATGATAATTTTATCACTCTTT